GCCCATTAGATTCTTAAGAAAGTAATACGCCTTTTGTTGGTACATGCTAATTTGTGTGCTGGATGGCTGGAATTGTGCTCGGATGGGCAAGCCCGGCCATGCCCCCAAAGATGTACCAGAAAAAGCCCATTAGATTCTTAAGAAAGTAACACGCCTTTTCTTGGTACATGCGGATTTGGAATTGTGCTTGATGGGCAAACCCGGCCATGCCCCGCAAGATGTATATGGAAAAGCCTGTTAGATTCTTCAAAAGCAATACGCCTTTTCAAGTTGGTACACCACTTTCGACGATCACAGTGTGAGATGCCAATTTCGACCGGACTTCAGCGAGTTATCCAATATGGAGGCACCTCAGTTGGCACCACAGAGGTACCTCACGATTTGAGTTCGTGCTTTATCTCCAGAAATCCCCGCAGAAATCCTTGTCAATCCACTGGGTCCTGGTGGCGTGCCTTTCGGATGTTTCAGAGTGCACTGATTCCTGGTGGCGTGCTACAAGAACCCCTTGGAGTTTGCCCGTATCAGCGCAGCCAGTGTTATTCTTTCCACTTTAGTCTGAGCTGTCTATTGCTGACAATGCCTTCGCCTTTGCTCCAATAGTATCCAGTACAACCAGCCTTATAGCACGACTCTCCCAGTGACAGTGACAAACAAAGCAAACAAACCCCGCATTGCTCACCTGTTGCCAGAAAGAAGACGCGGGCACTTCCGCCTTTCAGCTCGCCGATGCCCGTGACGCCACACAATGCAGGACAAGTTGCTCAGTCCGGTGGCAAGCTTGCAACCCCATACTGACTGCAATTCCGACTCGGCGGCGCATAGCCTATGGTGTTTGCGGCCAAACCGGGCACTTTCTGTGCAGTTCAGCCGAATCACAGATCGACGGCGCCCGGAGAAACCCTGCGCATCGGACGGTGGAGAGAGTTGGGTGGGATTTGAGACTCGCGCCGCCCCCGCATAAACGGTGAGTGGCCGCGGGCGGCGGCCCGGGGGCCGGCCGGGCGGCCGCCAAAATTCTGGGCGGCCGCGCGTGGCCCGCTGCTCGGCCGGGCCGCGCCGCGATAGCTATCGGCTCGAACAATCACAGGACTTCGAGTGCTAAGGTTTCCAGTCGGCATGGAGAATGGGGACCTGCCTCCTCGTCTTCCTGACTCTGCTTTGTTCGTACGCCCCTTGTCACCCTAAACCCCCCAAATCAACCTCACCTGGTGAGCTTACTGTTCCTGAAGCTTACTTTTCCTAAGGTGTCGTTGGTTCGAAGTTTCGCAGGTGGAAAGAATCGGTTCATTCTCAATTAGCCCTTCTTATAATCATCTAGTTGAGCTCAGTGTTCCAGTGTCATGACTCCGTATCATACATGAACGTCGACGTCACATCATCAGCGTCTGTATGGTGTTGCCAAAATCCGTCAATCTCGAGGAAACGAATAACTCCTTGATCGCATGTGCTATCATGATGTGGTCTGTCAAGCGCGACACTACAAAACCTTGATGTGAAGGGGCCATCCACAATGGTCGATCTGATTATCGAAAATCATGTCATTGCGGCGATGGAAGGGCTTATTCACACGGCCTGGTCAAAGCAAGGATTCAATCGTCCAATGCCGGCCGCAAGTGTCACCTCAGGTTGTTCCCGTCAAAGACTGATGGCGACCGCGCGCGCGACAT